AAACTAGTACTTACTAACTAAATTTAGTTTTACTTACCTATACTTAATACTAAAAGTTACTTTTTTAATAGTAACTAAAAGTTAGGGTTAGAACGGCTTTTGGATTGAGACGAAATAAAATATTTTGTTGGGCTAGTTTTTGTGGCCAAAAGTGAATATACGTAAAAGAGAAGAGATAGAGGGTACGGTGAAATACTCAAAGGTTTTTTTATGCCGTTTGAAAAGAAAATAAAAAGAGGGTCTGTCGTGAAATAAGATGGAAAATTAAAAATGTGTTAGAAAATTTCCCAAGATATTATTGGTTATTTGGTGGAAGCAGATTTACCTGCCATCGCAAGATTGAAAATTTAAATATATCATTGTTCATAATAGCATAATACATACGTGTGAGAGAGAGTTGAGCTTCGGTGAGGGCTATAGACAGAGAGAGAGAGGTTCGCTAGGGTTTGAGGGCCTCTGTGAGGGCTGTGCTCTTTTCAGCAACATTGGAATTGTCGCAAAAAACCTGAATGAAACACATTTTCTGCAAGAGGACGATATGAATGGATTAGAAAAAGAAACAAATGCACACACAGAGCCTTGGCCATTTTCCACACACACACCTCAATGGAACACATTTTTATTGCCAAGCCCACATTTCTACGTGCAGCCTTGGCCGCATGGTCCATTTTGTTATGCAACCATTTAATGCAACATAGGATAGGGGTTGGGTCGTGGTGATCCGCACGTTCAGTTACCACATCGTGGTATCCATTCCTATTATCGACATCTTCAATTATCCCTTTCGAAGTGTAATTCTCTAAAATATTTAAAAAAATAGGTAAGATCTATCTTCCTCCACTGAATTACCCAAAAATAAATAAAAATAAAATAAAAAAATGTTTAATGGAAAAGTATAAAGTACACCACCTCACTTACCCCGCCCAATGGCTGAGAAAGCGTGAAGGCAAAACAACGGCTACCACGGGGAGGTTCAAATAACTTTTGAAACCTGCAAAACCAACCCCATTCACCGTAGTGCTAACCCATTCACAGAAGGGCTTTTCTAACTTTCTTTCTTTTTTTTTTTTGGAAAGTAATAGGTTATTATATATAAGGTGCACTTGGCATACGGATGCATCCGTAGCTGTGGAGGTAATATACACCTTCAAATTTTATCGTGGTATATAATTTTGATGTAAAATATTCTTAAGATTATCTCAAAATCTATTTTTATATCTAATTATAAAATTTTAAATTTAAAAGATGGTTAAAATCAAATAGATTTGTAAACATATGAAAATCTTGAAAATATACAGTGTAGATAATATGTTGTAAAATGCATTATTTTTTAGACTTAAAATCTTTTTATTTTTCATGGGTATACATCTCGATGTCGAGATGATCAATCAAACGGTTTTTCAACATCAAAACTGCTTTTTCTGATGGATTTTTGAGGTGCATCCGTAGTTTTACATTATAAGGTTGCATTCTTATATAAACTTTTTCCTTATCTATAAGATTGTCTACGAAGAGACCATTTATCTTTTATATATGGAAGTTACAATCATTCTCATTTATTAGATGTCAAATTAAATGGCTTGGAATGAGTTATGAAATCCGAGATTTTTTTTTGTATGTCTATTCAATG